AGTTATAGAAGCTTCCCTCCCTCCCCCCCTTGTCTTAAAAATAATAAAGTTAAGTATTTTACGCCCCCATTTCCAGCACTGAGGCTTCCCAATATGACAAGACCACTGTAACCAGACCACCTTATTGAGTTGAAATGGCCTGGGTGACTTTAGTGTTCCTTTAAAGGACAACTGTCTCTTCTAAAATATTTTTTGGGTATAAAAATAATTTCATCAAGTATTGAAAATAAATCTTTTTGTTTTGTTGTTATTTTTTTTAAGTGGCATATATTTAAAAATAGGAGAAAACCTCTTCTCTAATTGAAATTGAGACTTTAACTGGTTACATACACTGCATGCAACCAGTGCACCAGATGGACACACCAAAACTGTCCAGGACTTAACCCAAATAATGTAATAAACAAAAAGAATTAAAATATCAAAGTATTGCTACCTGGAATGACATGGTCAATTGACAGAGTATCTATTTAGTCTTTATGGCCTTCCAAGTTTCTGTGCTGGGAGTGAAGCAGGGAAGACCATAGAGACTGTCTGTTTCCACACTGCCTGACCCAATTTGCATGCATATGGCTGAAGCATCCTGTCCTAGACCAACTTACATATAGTGACTATACTAACTTTACAGATATTTTCACATTAAACATAAAGTCTATTTCCTGCTAATACTTCATAAAAGGATTATATTGAAAATATATTTCTTGAGAAACACTTGTCCTATACACACATATTTGCCATAACGTCTCTCAACATGTTCTACTCTAGGCCCAACGTCCTGCTCCCCAGACATACCCACAGCCATTTATAAATGTGATTTATTTGGGCCATGTTCCAAAAATTGCCTTGTAGTTAGTTTTATGAAATAATTCTCCATGAAACAGCAGATGCTCACAGGTCTAACACCACCCTTTATGCAATGGTAACACCACCCTTTATGCAATGGTAACACCACCCTTTATGCAATGGTAACACCACCCTTTATGCAATGGTAACACCACCCTTTATGCGATGGTAACACCACCCTTTATGCGATGGTAACACCACCCTTTATGCGATGGTAACACCACCCTTTATGCGATGGTAACACCACCCTTTATGCGATGGTAACACCACCCTTTATGCGATGGTAACACCACCATTTATGCAATGGTAACACCACCATTTATGCAATGGTAACACCACCCTTTATGCAATGGTAACACCACCCTTTATGCAATGGTAACACCACCCTTTATGCAATGGTAACACCACCCTTTATGCAATGGTAACACCACCCTTTATGCAATGGTAACACCACCCTTTATGCAATGGTAACACCACCCTTTATGCAATGGTAACACCACCCTTTATGCAATGGTAAGCATCAGCTGGCTTCATTGGACTCCGGAGAGAAGCCCATATTATAACGGTTTGTCAACATCAATGTGAAAAACGCATTGGATAGCACTGAGCTCTGCCACATCTCATCGAATAATTGTGGGATAAACTAGAATGCTGACCGCGAGCCAGGACTAGTCGATGCCTGACCTGGCCAACACCCTTATGTATTGATAAAATGTCTAGCAGAAGTGTCGAGGCCAATATCCTGCAATGTTTTAAGAGTTCTGGATGTTCTGAATAATATGAGAAACATTACGTTATCATACAATTTCATAATAAAATATGTTACAGCTATGCATTGGATAATTGCCCTGTTAAGGTTGTTTTTTTAATTAGATGGTAGATGTTTTCCCAGAGCTTGTGATTGTGTTCTTTGTTCTGAATAATTGATGTTGAACTGCAACGGCATCATAGACACAAACTAACGAGGCAGCTTATAATGGCAATAAACATATTTAATTCATATCATCATAAACATGATGTTTCCCTACGGGGATTTACAGTTCGGTGTTTATGGCTGTTCAATGTGTTATTTGGTGCATGTTGCATTAACAGCCAGGGGCATAATGTAGATCTGTGATGCTAATATGGGTTATGAGTGTGTAGGTGTTCACGTCTGTGCTGCCAAGCCTTAATTAGTGCCATGACAATCTATGTCTTTACATGCCCGTCCAAGTGTTCCATTAACGTCAATGTTGGCTGCTTTGTTTGATCTACACAGAACAGGGCAAAGTAGCCTCTGTAACTTATATGGGAATTCACACAACTT